TGCATTCCTGAAGGTCGTCCTGAGCTCTACTCAAGGTTTTGCAGGTGATCTGATGGCGGGAGCGAAGTTCATCAAGTTCGTCGTGCAATGACTGCAGCTGTCCTTCATATTCTGAAATGCGACGAGTCGAAGCAACGGCTGACTCGTTGGATATCTCAGCGGGATTTTGCTCAAGAATGGCCAGCTTTGCATCGCGAACTTCTAAAGTGGCGGCTTTGTCTTCGAGTGAGCTTGTAACGCTGCAACCTCTTGACGATATTTCTCCAAATTGCAGTTGCTGTTGCTCAATTCCTTGCGTACAGTCGCAAGCGAGACCGAGATCCATTCCTCCTGGAGTTTGAGGTTGGTCTCCAGGTGGCGAATGTCATGTTGGTGAACGCCGATCTGCTCCGTGTGGCGGTTGATAGGAGCAATCCTTGCAGGAGCGGGAATATCAGGGTCCTCAGACGTCATGCATAATTTCTGGAGGATGGAGAGTGTGAAGTAGAAGCTGGGTAGTTTGAAGCCGTCTTGAAATTCGTAAATTATGGGCTCAACACCATTCTGAGTCCATGCATACACAACAACAGTGTTCTTCTCCCGAGCGGCAGCCTGGAGACGTTCGAGTTCACATTGGCGCCTTTCTTCATTCATTCCCTCTTCACGAGCATTTTGCTGCGTAAAGATTGCAGGCATCTGCGTTGCATAGCGTGGTGCTGCTCGGGCTTTGGGTTGTGATGGGCCAGCGACCATGCGTGAAGGGAGCTGCACAGGTTCGCTAGCATCTGGCGGCTCAACAACCCGACCCTTGCCCTTCTGGACTTGTGCAGGAGGCTCAGGAACTTCCGATAAGGACGCCAAGGGTGGAGACAGACGGACGTCCAAGTCAGAGGGTGCAGCATCAGGAATCAATGCTGGCTGCGAAGGTGGAGGTGGAGGCATAGGTGGACATGCTTGAGGCTGATGAGGTGTTCGAAGCGCCAATGATAGATCCAACACAACAGCGGAGGTATGTCCTTTGACGGAACAACCACCCAACAGGCCACAATGTGTTCGGCATGCAGCGTTCTCACAATGTGCATGGGGGCGCTTCTTGCAGACCAGGGCAGCACACATAAGGAGCAATGTGGCATTGCTCAAGGCAGCAGGCTGGACGACAGCAGTTGGGACTAGCTGAGCTGGCTGGACGACAGTGGCTGGGGCTAATTGAGCTGCGGCCAGGGTGGGGGAGCTGGAGGGACTGGTTGAGCCCCGTGCCCAGCGAAAGAAATTGCATGGCACTTGCTGCTCGCCAGCAAATTTCTTGCACTTTGGTGATTGGAGTCAGTTGGAATTCAGCAGTGAACGAGCCTGAGAAAGATAGCACTTACCACTGCCACCCAACGGCCCTCATTTCCGTTCTCATTTGACTTGCACCGTCGCCAAGGAACCTCCTCTTTGCAGTTGGTGCATGAGTGAATGAAATCAGGTTGGGGTTGAGCCAGTCAAGCATCGAGGACAGCCTGCCATGATGGTGCACCCCGCGAGGTGGATGGGGTATTCATGGTTGTCAAGAAACCTGGTAATCGGAGGATATCAGCCATATTCATCTGGCGGGCACAGAAATAAACTTACCAACGTTATCTAGTAGCTTGAGGATCGCATAAACATTGAGAAATGAATGACATGCTGTGGAATGTAGTAATTAGTATTCAGGAAATACAGGTCACATTAGAAACTTACAGGTAGCATAGAGATTGAGAGAACACATACCGGGCGGGCGTGCAAAGGCGTGCTGGCAGCAGTGGTTGGTTGAAAGCAAGAGATAAAGCATAAAGATAACCAATGGCGCATCATGTCGTGAAACCGGACAGATCCGCACTCGGGCGGACCCAGCCGGACGGACTCGGAAAATTCCATTTCCCAGATGTCCTCAAAGTATGGGACAAAGTCCGGGACATCGGCAAGCCCATCGGCACCTCCAAGCGGAGTATGAATAATTCTGTATCCGTCACTGTTTCTCACACTTCCTCACTGTCTGCAACGGCGCCAAGGACCGACTTCCGTCACTGTTCCTCACGCTTCCTTAATGTCTGTGATGACACCAAGGACCTACTTCCATGGTCGTTGCGAGTATTTTTGCAGCCATACAGCAACAGAACGAGCTCATTACTATGTCATATATTGATTCGGTCCTTAACATCGGCACCTTCAAGCGGAGTATGAATGTTTCAAAAAGGAGAGGGGCGGGTAAGGAGATGGGTGAGCAAGGAGATGAGTGAGCAAGGAGAGTGGCGGGCAGAGTTGTGGCGGGCAGAGTTGAGGCGAAGCATGAACATGCAGCATTAATATTCCAGTGAGATGTTAGGCGGCGGTGACGGCGGGCACGTTGGCGGGATTGATTGACATGGTCGTTTGAAACATCGAACGGAGTTTGGATTCCGCTCGGAGGTGCCGATGTCCCATACTTTCTCCCATACTTCCTCCCATACTTTGTCCCAGACTCTGTCCCAGACTGGCCAAATCCCTGACTTTCTGACCCTAGTAGTATTAGTACTTGCACACCTCATCAATAGCGAAGTAATAGGCCAGCATGCGTAGGACCACCCCCACCAAGCCCACACTCTTACTTCGGGAACACACTACCCTGCAAACTCTAAATATTCAAAGTACTCCCAGAGTCTATCCAGCTCGCATTACGCACAAGACAGCTGGTGGCGAAACCAATCAAATCCGAGTACAACTTATTCGGCAACCCAGTGATGGAGTCACTGCCTGCAAAGATACTATGGCAGATTACGGCGCAGTGCATTGCTCGTGTTTGGAGGGTATGGCATTCTCAATGAATGCGACATAGTGCGCTAATTAATGGTCGCAACGATCGTAGGTCTGCGGGTACTTCCTGCAAGCTAGCTAGGATCATCATGTCGAGGGCACCGTATATAAGTCTAGGATGCTCACATGGTCATTTACCTGACCCCTTTCCCGCACCAACTGCGCTTTACTTCGAGAATCATGTTGCAGAGTGCTAGGCTATGTAGTTGGTGAGTTTGCATTTCCTGCATTTGATTTGTTTACCTGCCAAAGTACCCAGCTAACACCATTCATATACTCCAGTTGGGTACCAGTGGTATGAAGGGTGTTAACTATAACCAGTCACGCATTCTTTTTCATTGCATTCTAGCTTCCTTCAGATGAAACCATAGGTCGTGGGACCAAGCTCACTTTCCGGACAGCGGCCTAAATAATTCGGACTCTTTCTAGGTCCATCGGATTCATAGACTAAGATGAATCATTTCATGGCCGGCAGATTTTCACCATTACTTTGAGCTTCAGGGCCAGACCTCGCGTTGATGGCAGGCGCCCGTGACGGCGGAAGTGGCTAGTTTCGATCGCCCATCAAGTAGCTCACGCTTATTTGTTTGACACGCTCGAACCACTGGATTAGCTCCGAGGGCGTTCGCATGCACGACCGGTTGACGTTCATCCGCGGTAAGTCCAACTTGCGCGCTGGCGGCATAAATGCATGACTGCAATCTCATTCCTGACCCTGATCTTCGGATCTGACTATGCTCCACGGAAATCAAGTCATTCTTCACGTCCTTGTTTTCCATAGTTTGCTAGTGATAAAGAGCATCGAGTTCAATCCCGTCCCGCTGGGCACCCAATCTGTGATTGTAACAATGCTTTCGATGATATGTCGGTAAACAAGCATTGACATCATGGAAGGCAGGTAAGATGGTCATAAAATTGATCTGTGTCTTGATCATTGCAAAGGTCGAAATTGAACCGACATTATTCCGATATCGCAACTTGACCGCGGTCAAGTTACCAACCACGATACATCGCACTTGTGCCAATCACGATGTCCGCGATTGCAATCATCACCATATACACATTAATCCGAGGCAGTTCCTCTTATCTATTGTGGAGAGGCAAGTTGGACCCACGCGCAAATGCGCAGGGAGTGATGATATCAGCGAAGGGACTCACTAAAACAGAGTATCTTGGCAGCGGCCTTTGCAATGAATGGAGGATCGAAGCGAAGCGATATATGGGGGTCTTTGAAAACAGGAAATTTGAATTCGGAAGGCCACCGCCATAATTGACGAGATGGACGATTGACAGCAAGCAGTGATGCAAAGATCTCATTGGCTGGCACGGAGAAATCGACAAAATTCTCATCCGGAGTGTTCCAGAAACGCTTGCGTGTTAACAAGTATGTGCGCGCAGAACTTGTTGCCAGGGGTATATGATCCATCTCTCTTGGCATGTCCCTCACGCTGACGCGAAGATATGGCCTTTGGGGTTTCCGTGGCCAGGTCGACATTACGAATGCGCAGGACTTCCTTATGTAGGCTCCTCACTGCTAAGCTACTAGTATCTGCAAATAAATGGCGAGTATTTCATTTGAACTTTGCTCTCTCTCCTCCCCGCTGATAAGACGTTTAGCTTAAAATCCATTGCACATCTAGTACTAGTCCTTTGGAGACTGTGTCGGGTCCAATGCCACCGACTCAAAAGGCGAGCATACCATCTCGCTCACCGAAAAACAAATTGTTCGCTCGGCTCCGATCGACACTCGCCCCCTCAATTGATTTCACCTATAGTCACCACTCTTTAGATACCTATATCCACATTTCCGACTGGATGCCCAAACCCCCTTCAATTAGCCCACCGAGGAAGGTGTGTATGATGATAATAATATGAATGATTCAAGTTTGCTGCAGGCACTGAGTACTGATTCCTCGTTGATGCGCTGTAGTTCTGCAAAGTCAAATGATCTCTTTTCTTCCCAGTCTGAGTCGAACTCCGCGTCCATAGCCACCTATCATGATGCAGATGAATGTCCCAGACCAAGTTCGGCAACCAGCGTATTTGGAACGCATCGAGCATGTATCATGGACTATTGACAATCTTGGTCATATCACTGACTAGATCCTCAGGCCCACATCTATAATTGAATTATCCTAGGAAAAGCTCTCAAGTGAAATTTAAAGGACCCGACACGGACTACACATTACGCCACAATGAAACCTCCCCTAGCAAACGAACGGTCTCCCAACTTGGCCATTGGCGTAGGCTTCGGCGATGAGCTATCATCAATCACTGACAGTGAGACGAGTGTCAGATGCGAAGACACAAACACTGACCTTTATCGACACATAAGTCCCAGCGACACAGATGAAAGTGCCGGAAATAACAGTCAACACTGCGAGTGTTGTCCCGATTGGTCGTCGTTTGAGTCCGTCCATGCCACCCTCGAGATGATATGCGTCATGCAACCAGAAGAATCCGGCCAAACCGTACGTGTACCATGCGGCAAAGAGGGCTGCCGTGATGCCGATTAGGTAGGAAAATATCGGGACTGCGATGGCAAGAATCGCAGCCATAGCTGAGCCTGCAAAACACAGCAGAGTCCAAACTGTCCACCCGAGTAAGGTATGCGAATGAAGGTGCTCTGAATGACGAAACATGCGAACAAACACCAGCTTTGTAGCTGTATGAGTGTATAGCCCGGAAGAGCTTTCGAAAAAAAGAATTAGTGAGGGCTAGACCAAACAACAACGCATCACTGACAACAGGAAATTTGGGAGACCAATGGCAAACGCTGCCTTTGCCCATACCGGAGGAAGGGAAAAAAGGACCGGGGACTGGACTGTGTTTCCAATGTAGACATACATGACTACGCTGAAAACAACATAGAATACTGTAGCGAAGCCCTGTAGACACCATGCTGCCTGAAAATAGCCTTCAGTCGCAACATCGAGTACAGGAGCGTTCTGACCTTTATAGCGTCCTCGGGTTTACGCATCTCAGATATCAAAATAAAGAACCTGTCATACGTCAGTTTCAGCAGGAATACCATGCCCAAAGTCATACATGAAGTGTCCTAGTAAAGTAGTTAGAAATGTTGATTAACATCGCAAAATTCCGTACCTGCATATGCAAAAACCTAATGAGCAGATAAGCAACGCTAAGTCACTCGAAGACATAATAAGGTACCCACAGGATTTGTGACAGCCAAGAAAGCATCGAAAAAGTTACTGGAGGCAGCTATTGTCAAAGAACGTCCGGGAACTGGGTTCACCCCTGCTCCAATCATTGCAATGAAACCAGCTACGGCAATGACTGCTGCACTAAGAACACCCATCCATGCCAAGCGATCCAGTGTCCGTGGTAGTGAAATCAAGAAAGCAACGGTGCCAGTAATGATGACCAGATACATACTACACATGCCCTGATTCGAAAGCGTTGACAGTGCCTGCTGGCTGGAAAGTAGTCCAGAGCCCTGTTTGTGATAATTCAATTGCGACATATTCCAGTTAACTCGATGACGCACCGAACCAAACACAGCGAAAGAAACAGTTCCGAAGGCAAGCACTTCCCGAGCCACAGGTCCGAACATAATGTATCCAGCATCGCCTAGAGTATCTCAGGTGTTTGAAAATCACCGATGACAGAATTTATTACCCATAGTATGCACATTAGGATGATTCAACTTGAAGTCGATGAGCAACTTGGCAGTGTACAGGCCAAAAATACCAAGAAACACGATTAGAATGACAGCGGGCACAATGCCTGAAGATTTGTAAAAACGCTGCTCCTCGTGGAATTCAGAGGACAGTAAGCTCACCAACGACTGCTAGTGCGCTTGGAAGAGACAGGATACCATTGCTGACGATTTCAGCTATCATGAGGAGGCTGACAGCCTACGTTCGATTAATATTTTACTGTGTGCAATCTCGCATAGACGCACCTGCCAGCTGAGTGTCTTGTATTGAATCTGATGAATACCATCTTCACCGAAAACATCTTTAGCACCTTTCGAATCTTGCTTCTCGGCGGTCACCGACGTGTTTTCGTCCACATAGGGTTGTCCATGCGCTTCATATGTCGGGTGGGACGCCATCTAATGGGTGTGATAACGTCAGGCTACGAGAGCACTCACATCCTATAAATACTAATGCGGAGCCAACAGGGCTAGAAAGCGAACACCGCACTGCCCCATTTGCCCTGGTGTAGATGAAACCACCCGTCCCTACCTGTTGGACTATCCGTAATATCCACATCCGAGGAACGCCATATATTCGCCAACTCACTCACGCCGATGGCATCACCAAGCAACCTCCATCTCCTATATCCTCACCTCCGAAAAGCCAGCCAACTACTCATGCGCTGCACCAACAAGACGGGAAGGCTCAAGCCGATGAGATTCCGGTTGCAGATAGTTGACAGTTGCTACAGCCTGAGTAGGCTGAGCAAAAAGGAAATCTAGATTGCACTCGCTGTTGTGGCCCAGGGCAGAACTATTTTGAAGCAGTTATGCCCGCGGCAGAACTGGCAGAAACAAGGGAAAAAAGTTGGTCGTGGCACGTGCTATATTGATGTGAGACCACTAGATAGCGAGTTCAGGTCCTCGCATTCCTCTCTCACTACATTTAAATTTTACAGTGCTTCAACTTGTGCTTCGCGTTCGCACTGCTCGTCGGGAACATATCAATCGGTAGCCAGCGGGTCTAGCATGTATTTCATATTGTCTTGTGTAATGCCGATCTAATAGTCAAAGTCTCGCACCTACTATACACTTGTCAGGTCCATTGCAGCCAGGCTGCGTGCTACCATCATCATGATGTCAAGCCCCAAACATGCCAAAGCACCGGTTATACCACGACAAACTCTCCTCAGTACCATGTCAATTTTCAGACTTATCTATGCCGCGTCAAAATAGTTATGCCACAACCTCATGTGACTCATGTCCTGGGCGTCTTTTGGAACACGAGGCAGGTTAAGGCAGTGCGAAGCAACACCCAGTGATACCCGCGCCTCACAGCTTGTTATCAAGACACCCACAATCCCTCCGCGAAGTCCGACTGTCCACCTCAACGTTCGACACCATCAGTAAAATGTCGGATCTCGTTCCTAATCGAAAGTTTAGTGAAGATCATGAAGGCGCTATAACCGCAGTCGTAATGTCCCCTGAAGGACAACGAATGATTACCGGCTCGTACGACAGGACACTTTGTCTGTGGGACTTGAAGACAGGCGTTGTGTTGAAGAAGATGGAGGGGAATCGCCATAAAGTGCGGACATTGGCGGTATCACGAGATGGGCAATTGATAGCAAGCGGTGGGGATAAGGGAGAGATCATTATCTGGCATGGGGAAACTGGGGAGTATCTCGTCCAAGTAATGATAATCGACTCCTATACGATCTTCTCGCTGGACTTTTCTCCTGATGGGACAGTGCTGGCAAGTGGTTCCATGGACTGGACGACGAAGTTTTGGAGCACTGCAACATGGCAGATGCAAGGAAATCCAATCGAATCCAGTACTTGGGTCAACCGCGTTCGCTATTCGCCATCCGGCAAACTTCTTGCCATTATGACACACAGCAATCTCAAAATTTACAATTCGGACACCAAGGAATGTGTTGCAGACATGGAGGATGACAAATATGGGAACAACCTCCACTTGAATTTACTCGCGTGGACACCTGATGGCACACGCCTTCTCTTGACGTGCTAGACCGGTATAACACTCCACAGGGCTAGGAATCGGTCTCGCATAGCCCTCCGCATCGCAGCCTGGCATATCCCTGCATACCCTCCCGTTCTGCTGCGGTCAAGCCAGTCCTGCGAACGGCCTGCTCCTCCCGCCACGCTGCATGCCAGGAAAGAAATTCTGCGACTCGGCGCATCTCCTGTTGCAGGAGGTCGACCTCTTCGGCCCATCGGCTGGCGCGTGCTCTCGACCTGCACCATTCGATATGCAAGGCTGTGGATGATCAAGGCCAAATCCTCGTCCGTAAAATGACAGTACTTACCTTCAGACAGGATGGACTCGTTATCGTCACCTATTGCACCTACTCCGCGGGCTTTCCAGATCCAAGATAAGGTGCGATTTCCTTCAGATTAGCCGCTATCTGCCTCTGACATCCCTCGAATACCAGTGGGCTGCAGCTCTGGTAGCTCCGCCTCCCAACTTGGATTGTCTAAAACCCCTGCCAGCACCTTGACTTATCTATGCCGCGTCGAAATAGTTATGTCACAGCCTCATGTACACTATTATGTCTGCCATCATCTTTTTCTCATCTTCTGTTGCAAACAGCGCTCGAATGTCTCGTCGATATCGGACTCTTGACAATGGTATGCGAATGTGCGTAGTACGGCTTGCTCCAGCGTGAGCATGTGGAACGAATTGCTTCTGCGGGATCAAACGTTCTAGGTTCCACTGCTCCCAAATGCCTATGATCTCATCACACAAAACCGGGCCGCCGGTGACGACACTACCACCATCTCTGAGCGCGCGGACAAATAATGTCGGCCTCCGAACATTGTCCCGTTCGAGCGACAAAATACCGTATATCACGTTGGTAAAACACGAAATCCCACAGTCCATTAGTCCTCTTTATCAACGATCTATTTGTAAACGAGACAACCATGGCACCGCTCACGATCTTTGTCGCTTCATACGCTGACTCCATCTACACATTGTCCTTTGATCCAGTACCGTCGACAGGATCCCCGACTCTTAATCTTCTGGCTCGAACGATCGTCGGCCACCGTCCGTCATGGATTGCATTTCATCCGTCCGATAAATCCCTCGTATATACAGGGCTCGAACAGGCAGATGGAGAGGTTGCCGCGATCAAGTATGGCAGAGGTGGAACCGTCGAAGGAGAAGTGGTGGCCAGGGCCAAGAGTGGTGGTGCAGACCCTTGCCACCTTCTTGTCGCAGAGGACGAGCTTATCATTGGAAATGTAAGTCCCCAAAACGTCGGCTCTACCTATTCTAACGTTCCCTTTCTCGCATCCGCGTCTACATCTAGTACTCCTCGGGCACAATCGCGACCCTTCCGATATCAACATCTGCCCCTTACATACTCTCACCACACCCATGGACGCTTTCAATGCCGTTTGAGCATGTAGGTCGGAACAAAACTCGCCAATCTTCATCCCACCCCCATCAAGTCATCCTCAATCCACTGAACCAAACGGAGAAAGAGCTCCTTGTCCCGGACTTAGGTACAGATAAGGTCTGGAGACTCACCAAACGAAGCGATGGCAAGTGGTCTATTCGCGATCACATTGACTTCGAAGCAGGGAGTGGCCCACGACATGTCGCAGCTCGAGGTGTGTCACTAACCTCTACTCTTGAAACCTTGTTGATTGTTATAACAGGAAATACCCTTTACACGCTACTGGAGCTCACCTTAAAGCTTGCTGTGCATACTTTCCCTCCGCTTCCGGCGACCCCTACTCCTCTTACATCTCTGTTCACGCTTTCTGCATTACCGATACCGGATACCATGTCGGCAGCGGAAATTCTGCTACCCGAACCCAACGCATCCTTCCCTGAAACATTCATCTACACATCGAACAGAAACGACCCTCATTCAGAGGGTGACACTATTGCAATCTTCTCTCTCGCCACCGGAGAGGGTCAGCCAGAGCTTGTGAACGAAGTGCGTACGGGGCTAATTCATGTCCGGGGAATGGTGTTTGGAGGTGACGAAGATAAGTATCTGGTTGTAGGTGGTGCGGAAGGTGGCGGAGTGAAGGTATTTGAGAGGATTGATGGTGGCAAGGGACTCCAAGAAATCGCGAAGCTCGGTGAAGACGTTGTAGGACGTCCCACTGGCTTCTTGTGGTACTGAGAAGTCACAATGTGAACCGGTGGACATACATCTGCTCGCCAGCTGGAGTGTAGCATTTATGGGCGTCTGTCGCATTAGGTCGAGGATACCAGTTGTATACTAGTATGCTTGCTTGTAGTGTCCGATCGAACCAGCTCAGCGAGAGTGGCGGGCTTATAGATGCGGATGAAGAGGAGGACAGTGCCGGCTCTCGTTTCTGCGTCACTGCACCTTTCCGTTTTCAGTCTTCAAGATGAATAAGTCGGGCGTCTATGCAATACTCGCACCTGTGCACACCGACGGTCCCTCGATAGGTCTGACTAGGGGATATTGTTCGGTACTCTATCCCAGTCCGGGCGCCTCGGCCATACTCAACACCATCAACCTCCAGTAAAATGTCTCAGCTCATCCCAAGCACCACACCTCTTCGAACGTATAAAGATCATACAGATGCCATACGCGCTGTAGCAGTTTTCCCGGATGGCCGACGTATGGTCACAGGTTCATATGACAAGACGGTTTGTCTGTGGGACTTGAGAACAGGTGCTATGTTGAAGAAGATGGAGGGACATCGTGATAGGGTGGCGACATTGGCAGTATCACGACATGGGCGATTAATAGCAAGTGGTGATCGGAAAGGAACATTCATCATTTGGCACGGGGAAACTGGCGAACTTCTTACACAATTCACACAAGCTCATTCTAATCGGATCTACACATTGGAATTTTCTCCCGATGGAACAGTACTGGCCAGTGGTTCAGAAGACACCACGACCAAGCTATGGTGCAAGATGACATGGCAGCTACAAGGAAACCCAATAGAGTGTAGAAATTGCGTCCGTCGCGTTCAGTATTCGCTAGTGTACGGTCAATTTGGAACTGTCCGAAATTCACAGGGTAAATTTACAGTGCGTCCAGAGGCCTTCAAATTCACCACTGTGAATTACCGTAGATTAACATGTCTGTAAATTAACGCTATTTTACAGGTGAATCAGGTCAAATGTACTGTGAATTACAGTGAATTAGGTGAGTTATTCAACTTTCCACTCGTCCCAAGCAGAAGGGTCAGGGACGGACGAGACAAGGTTTTTGCGGCCTTCTTTGTTGGTGCAGAACCCGACTGGTGCACACAAATCAATACCGCTGGATGCCGCAAGCACGAACAAATCTTTCTCCACTGTTCTAAACTCTGAAAGAGCAGCTGGACCATCCAACCAATCTGCGCCATTGTCAAACTCTGCTGAGTCCGACTCCGACTCCGACTCCGAGTCCGAGTCCACTGTCCCTGCTTCAGGTGGAGGAGGCATTCGACCAGCGGGAGGCAAATCTTCAGTGGACCGCTTGCCAAGGATAGTGGATTCCATATCATGCCACTTGACGAGAGGTTTGTATGGTGTTTTTAGTTTCTGTGTAGTCAGTATGAGACTGAGAACTTAACACGCGAAAAAATGTTACTCACATTAGAATCAAAGGAATGGTTTCGGGGAGATTTTGAAGATAAAGAGATAGTAACTGTAGCTTATTTCTCGTTTCACAATTCATGGTTGCGAATGTTATGCCCTAGCCCTAGTGCAGATACTTTGCGAGATTCACAGATTCACCACCACGGAGACGCCCATCGGATTGGCAAACTCCAAATTCACCCAAATTTACACCCCCAAAATGCCCTTCGAGATTCACATGCTGATTAACGCTAATTTACAGGTGTAAATTTACGCCTGTAAATTTACACCCCTCTATTTGACCGTACACTAGTATTCGCCGTCCGGCGAGTTTCTTGCTATTGCAACATACAACGACATTCAAATCTATACGTCAAATACGAGGGAACGCGTAGCACACTTCAAGGGCCAGATTTCATATAACTTCACACTCCTGTGGACGCCTGATAGCACACGCCTTCTCACAGCAGGAGATGCAAATGATCCGACCATACGGGAGTGGGATACAATAACTCGGAAGCAGGTCGGTGATCCTTGGATGGGACACAAATCAGGCATTTCCTCCATTGCCATCCATCCCTCGGGCACACTCGTCGCTTCTGCATCATATGGTGGGCGTGTTCGTCTCTGGCGACTCTCAGATCGACGGGTCATTGCCATCTTCCAGCACTCAAGCTGGGTAGGATGCATCACTTTCTCCGTGGATGGCAAGCACGTCCTCAGTGGAGCTTCTGACAAGATGATCTCAGCGTGGGCAGTACCAAAGGATGCTTGGCCTGAATCAAAGGTATTTTAATGTTAATTTTCTACCTCTTCACCATCTCATATCGCATATCATTGGATTACAAGGCTCAAGTCTCTGCAAACCGTAATATGGCAAACTTGGAAAAATCGCTGTGGGAGGAAGTGCTTCTTGACGCACAAAAGGTATGATGTCATACATCCGTTCAAACAGTTTCCTGGCCAACGCTGACTTTGACCATACATAGGTAATTGATTTGAACCCTTTGTCACACGTTGGATACCGGTTGAAACATACTGCGCTTCATGGCGCACAACGCTATGATGAAGCTATCGAGGTCCTCACGGTGATGCTTGCCAAATTAGACAATGCTCACGATATGCAAACACGAAGTAAGCCCTAGTAAGTAACACACTTTCCAGATGCTCAACTCTTTCCTCAGAGCTGCGCGAGCAGTATGTCAGTCCCTCTAAAGCAGATGGTATGATTCAAAAGGTCATAAATGATCAGCTTGACACTGCTCCGCTTCGTCTACTTGACACCACTACCGGGCTTCTATGTGATCGAGAAACGCAGATAAACGCTTTCAAAACGACCGCAGAGTACAAGCAACTTTTCTTGTCGATTATGAAGCATGCGGACCTCTCAAGGGAGATCATCGCAGATGCAGTGGCCAAATACTTTGGTTGCGTCATGTTATCGCATAGATGGGAAGGAAAGGAACCGCTACTGCAAGACATCAAGGACAAGGTCGTGTACCAGTTGGAGGCGACCGGTGGTCTCAGGAAGTTACAGTTGTTCTGCAAGAAAGCTCGTGAGGCAGGGTTTCACTGGGCGTGGGTTGATTCGTGTTGTATCGACCAGAACAACAATGTCGAGCTCCAAAAATCGCTCAACTCCATGTTCGCCTGGTATTATCATGCAGCGCTCACGATCGTCTACCTCTCTGATGTTCCGCCTTCGTCCAAGTCTGGCGCACTGGCAAAGAGTGCTTGGAACACTCGAGGATGGACTGTCCCGGAATTCCTGGCTCCCAGAGTCATTCTCTTCTACCGACAGGATTGGACTTTATATCTCGACAACGACTCCCACAACCACAAGGAGTCTGTCGAGATCATGCATGAGTTGGAGGATGCGACGGGCGTAGATGCACGTGCCCTCGTTGCCTTCCAACCGGGGATGAGAGATGCCCGAGAGAAACTCAAATGGGCATCTACGCGTATCACCACTGTGGCAGAAGACATTGCATACTCACTGTTTGGTATCTTCGGCATCCAGCTGCCTATCCTTTATGGGGAGAATAAGGAAAATGCGCTCGGGCGGCTCCTGCAGGAGATCGTGGCTCGATCGGGCGACATTACAGCCCTCGACTGGGTCGGACAACCATCCACGTTTAACAGTTGTCTTCCAGCCAACATTTCATCATACGCAGCCCCTCCATGTGCTCTCCCGTCTTTATCTGAAGACCAGATTCAGATGGCCATCTCCTCCCTGCGTCATCCTGTGGCTGTGGAATTGGCTTTAAGCTTTTATGACCGGCTTGACAATATGAGCGCTGCTCGCTTCGCGAACTGCAGACTGCACCTGCCTTGCATAGTGCACCGTGTCATAGAAGTCAGACGGAGGCAGGATCTAGCCCAGGAAACTCCTTTTACGTACGGAGTAAAGGCGGATGGGCTTTGTGACCTGTTGATCACCACCCAAGAGGCGCTGGTCCAATTCTCTTGGACAAGGCCCACTCGACAGACATTCTTGCTTGTCCGTCCATGGGATCGTCGTCTTCTCGAGCTGCCAGACTTTGGAGAGCAGCCTGCCTTCGATAACGACGCGGAAGATATGTCCGATCCCGGGACTCCGTTAGATCACTCGCATCGTTCTGCTAGACAGGAGCGGATTGATTCGGAGCGTCACTCACGTGCATTACGATTGATCGTTCGCCTTGGGCAGCCATTCGGTGCATTCTTGCTCGCACAGCAGCGCGGTGGAGAATATAAGAGGATCGCGTCAGATCGTGATATCATTGCACAAGTCAAAGACATTGCTTCTGTTCACAATGTGACGGATATCAGAACCCTAGAAATATTGTAGCTATACGTATTTTATTTTGAAGGATAGAGACTCCGGATGTAACTTCAACTCAACGATCTATGATGATCCATCACAGAGCTACCAGCCAGTAGTCCAATTTGCGCAAGAACTCTAAGTGAGTTTATGGCACAGCTGCATGGCTGCAAGCTGAAGTACGTAGTCCTTTTCCTGGCCTTCAGATCCGACTATGGGGCTTGGCATGGCCATAGGGATAATGATCATATCATACAATCGTTATTGTCTTTGAATTTTAGACGCTTCACTGGTGATCAAAAGATGTGAACTGACATTGCCAGACAATGAATGTCATACAGAGGCCCCAAATCGGCAACGGCTTCGATAAAAAAAGTGAACAACGTTGGACAGTCAACTTAGCATCACAAGAGGCATCTTCGTGATGCCAAGTCAACTATCCAACTTGCCCTGTAAGTCGCGGTGTGATGTCAACCCCTTGTTTATGCATGTTTACCACGTCTCTAACCTACTTTGTGTTGCTTTGCTTCAGCCTTCCTTTGACGGCGATGGCTGCTGGATTTACTGAGGGGACGACTATTGTGTTTTGTGGATTTTGTGGCTTGTCAGGTACCTGCACGTCCACTGGCTGTGTATGGATGACATGGGCAGTATAAATGTGCAGAACCTCGTTAGGCTCACTAGTCCTGTTAATACAAATCAATGGTGAGCATCCCTATCTGTTCCTCTCTCATCTTCGCCGACAACTTATCTAGCCTAAATCTATCGCACCCCCGCACGTGAGCTTGCACCTTCCTCCTGACTTCTCATCCTTTGGAAACGCTTGCGTCGAGTCGGATGCCACCAATAATGCCACCGACACAAAAGGCGACCATACACTCACTACTTTCAGCGATGCATCTCTTGCCGAAGAACAAACACCTGGCCCGGCTACAAACAAGATCAGTCGCCTTAACCGTTTGCGTTTGAAGGTCAAGCGCCCGTCATTTTCCAAGAATCGGTCGAGCGTCCAGTATAGTCCAAAGGTACACATCGCTTTTGCATGGTAAGTTGTACTCTTACTGACGGTTTTTGACAGAGTCCGGCTGGGAGAATCTTTCGCTCATCGGAGTCCTCACCAGCTCCTTCTCCTTCATCCCAATCCTCTCTTATCGATGCTCTGAAGAACTCTCTGCGATCAGACAAGCAACGCGCTGTTCAGCGTTCACAACCAGACGCTATTATCGAGGTGGAAATCCGAGCTTGTGCAGCTGACTCACGAGAGTCTATCTCCAGTAGTTCGGGTGTTTCATGCGACTACAAACCGGGGCAGTCGGTGATCGTAAAGGATGTCCCTTCCGTTGCCGATGCAGTCACTGGATGGAGGAAGCTGCCACCTAGATTGCCAATTCCGAAGTGGGACGTTGATGATTGAGTCCCTCTCCTGCAGAATACTTATCAGTTGTATCATAAACATGCTGTGTCACTTCATTAATCAGTACCCGACTCCAGAACGCAACGAAAGGTCCAGGGATGAGCACCATCCTTAGCAAGAGAGGTCTCATATACTTGTTCAGACAAACACGAGGCCAGCTGCCACGAAGCCAAAAACTTCCATGTCATTGGAAAGCTGTATAACTATCAAAAATCAAAGTTGTCGCAGTCGGTTCGAGGTTCGGGGACTGACAGAATTTATGGACCATTGCGCATCACCGAACCATTGTTGGATTCCGAAACAAATATATTTAATGAGTAACGGGCTTCTCAGTCAGAGATCTGGTACTGTACAGTTGTATATCAACTCGAATTAGGTCTCGGCGGATGCTCCCACGAATCAACGATTCCATCCAGTTACTTTGTAGCACATCATACAGTGGGACAATCACGAATTCGTGCTCGGCGCTAGATATGAAATTGACAAGGAATCAAAGAATTAAACAGTAAACTCGATATTGCAGCAATAAAACTATCGTTACATGGAGCTAGAAGGCTCGATGTTAGCAACTGCGAGGACGAATGGTAAATACTAAGAACTCACGCATCTCGGCAACTCGGCCAGTGTGTCCCATGTGCCATGCAGCTCAAATCAAGCTCGACACCTCCTCTTGGGATGACCAATGAAGTCAAAGGAGTATAAAATGCATGTCGGGAAGCGGGAGGTACCCAGAAAAGGAGCCGACGATCGGGGCCCATCACCCATCCATCAACCTGCAGCAGGAAAGGGGTCGAATTATAATTAAGGTGAAGGGTATGTTCGGGCCAGTCAGGGTTGGGCAGGGCGTGTTTCAGGCTGGATGAGAAGCAGATGAGGTGATTATTACAAGCGCCAGTTGGCATGATATGGCTTTCCTCGGTGAGGGGTATGGCGCTTCGATGCAGCGAGAATGCGGAGGGATCTGGCTCTGTAGACTCGGGAGATGACTGCGTTTTCACTACACTCCACAAACGGATAGTCTTATCGAAAGAACCAGACGCGATGCGAGTACCGTCAGGTGAGAACGAGACTGAGTGAACCCAACTAGTGTGCCCCTCCAATGGCTCACCCAATGGCTGTCCCGTTGCTACATCCCACAGCCGCACAATCTTATCGTGCGAACCAGACGCGATGCGGGTGCCATCCGGTGAGAATGAGACTGAACAGACCGGTCCAGTGTGCTCCTCCAAGGGCTCACCCAGTGGCTGTCCCGTCAATGCATCCCACAACCACACAGTGTTATCCTGCGAACCAGACGCGATGAGAGTGCCATCCGGTGAGAACGAGACTGACAAAACCCAGTCAGTGTGCCCCTCCAATGGCTCACCAAATGACTGTCCTGTCGCTACGTCCCACAGCCGCACAGTTTTATCGAAAGAACCAGACGCGATGCGAGTACCATCAGGTGAGAACGAGACTGAGTGAACCCAACCAGTGTGCCCCTCCAAAGGATCACCCAATGGCTGTCCCGTCGCTGCATCCCAGAGCCGTACAGTGTTATCTGATGAACCAGATGTGATGCGAGTACCATCCGGTGAGAATGAGACTGAACAAACCGCTCCAGTGTGCCCCTGCAAGGGCTCACCCAATGGCCGTCCCGTCGCTACATCCCACAACCGCACAGTGTTGTCCTCCGAACCAGACGCGATGCGAGTACCATCCGGTGAGAACGAGACTGACAAAACCCTTCCAGTGTGCCCCTCCAAGGGCTCACCCAATGACTGTCCCGTCCATATATCCCACAGCCGCACAGTGTTATCGAAAGAACCGGACACGATGCGAGCACCATCCGGTGAGAATGAGACCGACCAAATCGCTCCAGTGTACCCCTTCAATGGCTCACCCAATGGCTGTCCCACATCCCACAGCCGCACAGTATTATCCTCCGAACCAGACACGATGTGAGTCCCATCCGGTGAGAACGAGATTGTGTGAACCCAACTAGTGTGCCCCTCCAAAGAATCACCCAATGGCTGTCTCGTCGTCGCATCCCACAACCGCACAGTGTGATCCGATGAACCAGACACGATGCGAGCACCATCTGGTGAGAACGAGACTGAACAAACCGCGCCAGTGTGCCCCTTTAAGGGCTCACCAAAAGGCTGTCCCGTCGCTGTATTCCACAGCCACACATTATTATCCTCCGAACCAGACGCGATGCGAGTACCATCCGGTGAGAACGAGACTGACAAAACACAATCAGTGTGCCCCTGCAATGGCTTTCTTGTCACTGCATCCCACAGCCGCACAGTATTATCGTGCGAACCAGACGCGATGCGAGTACCATCAGGTGAGAATGAGACTGAGTGAACCCGACTAGTGTGCCCCTCCAAAGGATCACCCAATGGCTGTCCCGTCGCTGCATTCCACAGCCGCATAGTGTTATCCTGCGAACCAGACGCGATGCGAGTACTATCCGGTGAGAACGAGACTGAAAAAATTGCTCCAGTGTGCCCCTGCAAGGGCTCACCCAATGGCTGTCCCGTTGCCGCGTCCCACAACCGCACAGTGTTATCCCGCGAACCAGACGCGATGCGAGTACCATCCGGTGAGAATGAGACTGACAAAACACAATCAGTGTGCCCTTCCAAGGGCTTACCCAACGGCTGTCCCGTCCATACATCCCACAGCCGCACAGTCTTATCGTGCGAACCAGACACGATGCGAGTACCATCCGGTGAGAGCGCGAGTGAGGAAACCGCTCCAGAGTGCCCACTGATTACGGTCTGGGCAATCATCCAGTTCAAATCACGGCCAAATGCCAGACGAAGATTATTCGGAAACCTTGCAGTAAAATTGGTAGCCATAGTGGAGTTGCTGGGTGAGAATGGCAGCGCTGATATATACAAGTGCGGCGTGCTGTGCAAAATCATGCCACCGAACACTTGAATGAATCTTTGTACATCCATCGTGGTGGACTGTAAATCTTTGTATTCAGAATGGCCCTGTTTGTATTTATGAGTTGTTCGTCCGATATTGCCTCGTATATGTGCTCACCTTCAGCCACTTGGCAACGAGTGGAAGCACGATAATAGCACCTCTGATTGCATTGAGAAGTCCGAGTGCTTCGATCCAGAATAGCAGTCTCTCGTCGTCGTCGAATGATCTAATTGCCTTTGCAAGCTCGTCGTCGAAGTCCGTTTTTTGAACATGCGTAGCCCAGTGTCGAGAAGAATAGGAGAGATGTAATGGAATGGATGTTTTGATTCGTTGGGGCAGTCCGGTATCTTCGCAATTAGGGAGGTATGATGACTGTAAATCACACATATTGAAGCGAAGGCCATGTTCCATCACTCGAAGTGACGCCAACGCTAAATCGTGGTGTTGCATCTTCGTCACCTCCACGAAAAAGTCTCCGCTGAATGATTTGTCTGTGAGAAACTCTCGAAAGGATGCGTGTAGGGGTCTGATTGGGATACATGAGTCCGTTGTGCCACTAAGGAGGGATCCCATATGTTTTACTACGACGTCCAGTTTGTAATGTTTGTTGCGGTTTTGAAAACAGTCCCGCATGGCGTTGAGGGAATCGAACGGGAGGGGTTCAGCCGTGCTGAGTATTTGTCCCATCACGGAACGAAACTCCGCTAGTGCTTCCTGGTACTCGACATCACCATACTCGTGTCGTGGCCATATTTCTGCCAAAATAAGCCGATACATATCATACAGCTGGTCCGTCCATTTCCCAGGATCACGGTTCACAACAGTTTCAAGGCGAGACCTTGGGTTTACACTGGGAAGGTCTTTCATAATGTATTCGCATGCAAGACGTGCCCACTCGAACAGTCCATCGGCTTTCGCAGCGAGGTTTGCAATCTCATTCTCCCCAAAATGCGACGGTCCTTGTAGCTTGTCAGATATAAAAGTGCAGATGTCGCGTTTCGCCACTGCTGCTGAGATCTCATCCATGGATAAGCGTAGAATATGTTGAGCGCCGTGAAATGCGCTTTCGATATCATGAAGTGGGCGAGAGGTAATGAGAATCCGAAAGTTGGATGGGAGTTCTGTGATTTTGGGGAAGCCTTTGTTCTGAAGTTTACCGGCCAGTATGCGGAGAAGGTCCCGCCGCGTTTCCGGTCCGCCGCTCTCGTCCAACGCCTCGATCACGATCAACACAGGTCCCACACGTGACTTGGAGACTTTCTTCAGTGGTTCCATGAGAAGCTTTTCCCACTGCTGGAAAATGTCTCTTGAGTTCTTGAGTGACGTGGAATTTTCGACCGCATCCGCCAGATGTCGTCTCATCTCTGGATCGCAATCAGCCAGGTCACGAGCGATGGTGGAGAAAACTTTTTCATGGTGTTTCTCGATTTCTTGGGCCTTGTCGAAGCAGAAACACGAACCAAGCACTGTCATGTCACTGAACCACTTGGCAATCGTGTGAGCGATGGTTGATTTGCCCGTGCCAGCAGGGCCAGATAGCCACAGCACACGTTCAATAGCGTCTCCACCACCGTTGATCCAATCTGTGATCTGGGAAAGAATCTCCGTGCGCGTTCCTCGTAGGCACTGTTTCGTGGTATTTAGTCCTACACCCTTCGCATAAGCTATATCCCCGAGACTCAAGGTATGGCCTGAATCAATGTAAGATAATGTGAAAACAGAAGAGTGTCATAATTCTTACCCGCATGTTGGATGAAGATGGCCACGTCTCGATCAACTTGGTCCCGAAATTGTTGTACGAGTCCGTCCAAAGTATCGTTGTACCGCTGAATGGTGATATCAGCTTCCGAGAAGACGGTTTTCCCAAGTCTTTTCCCTATGATGATAGCATAAGATTTCATGTACGAAGTGCGATAGCTTGGCGACTCACGAAAGCTCTTTGTCCCAGAGTAGTCCCTGATGAAACGAGCACACTCAAGAATCTGCTGAACGATCTTTCCAACGATATCGCGCATCGATTCAATTTTTCGAAGAGTGTCATCTTGAGTCATGAAGTGGTAAACTTCAGCCAACTTCTCGAGAAGACGACGGACTGATTGATCGCGATTTGCTTGAGCGATGATAGTCTACATGGAATTATGACTCCTGAGCAGGAGACAGAACTTCGGGAGAAACTGAACGCACTTTGGACGCAGCAGACAGTACACCCAACACCATTTTTGCGTACGGATGTACCTACACAACTTGATTAGTTCGCTTCCCATGAACGAGAATGACCCATACATCCGTAATCTTCTCAAGGACAGCGTCGATAATATTTAGGGGTTGGAGATATGTCGTCTCAAAATCATCCATAGCGGTGAGACCTGCTGAGGCATTGCTGGCCGCAGATGCCACAGAAATTGTACGTCCCCCGAGTAGTCTCATACTTTCCATACCCTCACGGGCACCTTGAAGTTCGGCATCGACTAATTGGGGATTGGGACCTTCCTCCACATCAGAAGGAGCAGTCTCAACCTGTGCAACCGCCGAAATGTAAAGAAGGAAAAGTAAATCATCAAATTAAAATACCTGTATAGTAGGTACTGAAGCGCCTTCAAGTTCGACGTTCTGGGCCACAATGGTGTGGTTGCGTTTTCGCTTGAATGGTTTCTGCACAAATTCAGTCATATTCAGGACAATCAGCATTCACATCTACGCACAGGAAGTTTTTTTGTGAACCCATTTTTTAATTTCCGCAGGGACTGACAGACCCCTCTAAGAGGTTCGGCGCTCTGGACGAAAAATACATGAGGGCTGCCAGCCATGAATTACAAAAAATCACGTACCTGGCTTTCACCAACATTTGCTTGGCTGGATCTGTTGGCTCCTGGAGGAGGATCGGGCCTATGGTCTGCACTCATCGCGAGTGGTCGTGGATTTGGATTGAGTCAGTGTGAGAGAAACGATGGGGGACACTGTGAAAAAGGAATGGACGTTTGATCCTTTCGCAGGATCCTTCGAAGCACAGCCAACACGTCACGGTTAACTTGAAGCGCAGTTCCTTCAACCACGCAATTCCTGTCGGTTCGGCCGGTTATTATGTGCGGGTCACAATGTAAGATAATAATGGAGCATCGGTAGAACCCGGTCTACTCCAGAGTCGAATTGTACAGCAGTACTTTCCGATAAATATTAGGCCTTCCATCATCAAAGTTGGCCGGGCCCCGAGCCTGCATTGGCATTCAAAGTGTCATTCCAGCTGTCCTAACTTCAAGCATACGACGAGACCTGTGCATGGGATGAGACGATGGTGCTGATATTTATAAGGCTGTTCTGCCGCAAGTGCTATCAATATCATAGTAGAACTGTGAGGAACTTCCGGTCCTGGACGCCGTGTGTGACCGTGACGTTCATCTAATCAATGCATCACGTGGTGCCAAACTGTGTCACGACTCACCGAGTTCTCGCCCAGGATGCCACCACAGGCCCACCACCGTATACTGTGTATGATCTGCACTCTTGCACGCCACTATGTCTCGACTTTGTCTCATACCCCAACACTTTTCGTGTCAGTCTCTCGACATTTATTATTTAATTTAGTCGAGAGTAATTCAAATTCAATGTGTTTTGTAGGATTTTCGTATTGATCTGCAGAGGCCTACACAGTCACGGTGGCCTGCACACGTCTCACCAGCTTGATCTGACGGTTCTGACCCGTCATGTAGTATTTACCCGCAGTCCCCTATGAGTCCTAGTGGAGACTCGGATACGTCAGTGGCCTCAGATGTTCAAAAGGTGTGTCATACAACTTTGAGTCATTGCTGCCCTTGCTATTAACAGCGAAGTTTCATGCACATGACGGGAGGCCCACAACCACTGCGTCATTGATGATTGTTTACGCGTCTCAATTGCCAAGCTTTCGCTGTTACCCCTTTGACTGAATAATGTCTAATTTGCATGCGCTGTGACAACCATTGTGGTCTGTGACCTTGGTGGCTAGTCGGCACATGCACAGGTCAATGCTTGTGGACGGACGATATGGGCAGTATAAATGTGCAGAACATCGTCAGGCTCCTCACTGCTCACCCGTCTGTAATTCAATGGTGGGCATTGACCCTCCCTAGTATTCTCTCTTCGCTGACCAGTTGTTTAGCCTAAATATACCGTACTCCCGCACATGAGCCTGCACTTTGGCCTCTATGAGGACGAACGCGTCGAGGATAACACCGACCCGGAAGACGAGCACACACTCACTGCTTACGGCGATCTCTCCCTCAGCCCAGAAGAAAAGCTTGGCTTTCCTCCAAACGAACTTCGTCGCCGTAATCAATTGCGTTTGAAGGCGAGACGTAAGAGTCCTCAGTACAGTCCACCGGTGCGCATCGTGTTTGCATAGTTGTACTCTTATTGATGGTTACACGACAGATTCCGGACGAGAAATTCTGGGACCCATTGACGTTTTCACAAATTTCGACTCCTTTAACGCCTGCCGAGTTTTTCAATAGATTTAGACATTCTGTACGACGTGCTTTTCAGCTTGCACAAGCAGAAGCTGCCGAGGCCGAAGCCCGATCTTGTGCAGCTGACCCAGGAGAGTCGACCTTTAGTGACTCGAATGCTTCATATGATTCCGAACCAGGGCAGTCGGTGACAGTAAAGGATTTTCCTTCTGTTTCTGAAACTTATGATCTGATCGAGGAATGGAGGAAACTGCCTCTGAGACCTGGAATTCCGAAATGGGATATCGGTAATTGAACGTAGTTGTATTAAGCATGTATGTGTTACAGAAAATTCAATACAAGGGTGTATTATGCGTGTACTAAAGAGGTCTCGCAGATGCGGTGAGGAGAAAGGGAAAATTGGAAAGTTGGAAAGACTTATTGATGCGCATGCGTATGTATACTACATAAGATGAGGTAGGAAATGATGTGTGAACAGAAAGCACAACCAGAAACAAAATCACCTCGAAATCGTAGATTCAATTCGACATCAAATGTCGGAGGGGACCGCCCGCCAAATCCCCGACACACAGAAAAGCTTAATCCAGAGGCACCAAAAAACTCGCCAGCGCCCAGCCCACTTCTCCCCTGACTTTCGCATCTCTGCCTCCTCCCTCCGCATCAACAAGCTCCCGAACTAGTAGCAAACAATCCTCCCCGTCATCCACATATAACGGTAAATCTGGATGGGTGCTGGGGTGCCCATACTCTCTAAGCACATCAAACGTATCTCCAGATCGCAACTCGAAGAACGGTAAACCCCGATACGATACTCCAGCAGGTGGAATACACATATGTATTGCAGCGCATTGATAGAGCGCGCGTAGCCCTTGCAAGTCCGTGGTGCGGCGAGTGGGGGTATGCGGCGACTGAGTTCGAGTTGGCGTGGGTGGCATTTGGTATGCAGGCAGCGCACTATCTGTGGTATAATAACTTGGTGCCAGCGAGCTCGGAGCTCCAAGGCTCTTGACAGAACTTGATCGTGTCCTGTGGTGTGATGGCCGGAATGTATCTGTGATCTTACTTTTAAGGCTTGGTCGTCTCTGCTGGACACGCCCCCGATCTCTGTCGTTGTCTTCCTGCTCCTCATCGAACGTAGCGAACGACGACGGACTTGGTGGGGGATCAAGTCCAAAGGGTATGTTGCTAATTATCGGCCCAGGCAGACTCTTCATTCGTGTAGGCTTGAGGCGCGGTGGCGAGACGCCACTGCGAGACTGCGATGGCAGTTGTAGGGCAGAGGGCATAGGTGGTACATCTTCGATCATCCTCCAGGTATTCGCACCAGGACTAAGGTTACTCTTGTATGACTTGCCCGACTTCCCAGATTTACCAGAACGCAGTGACTCATCGGAAAGTTTGCGGACAATAGGACCGGTGGGGATATTGTTCGTACTCCCACTGCGCCGTCGACCAGTGATATCGTAAGAATTGGGGTGCGAGTGTGACGCACGCGACGCTGGATTGAACGAGGAAGACGATGATTGTGAGCTGCGGTGGTCATAGGAGTTCTGGGAACTGCGAGGCTCGTAAGAACTTTGCGAGTTACGGATGTCGTAGGAATTCTGTGAGCTGTGAGGGTCATTTGATCGGTAGTGTGTGTCGTATGATCCAGAACCAGACGAATGGCGCGCATCGTACTCCTTCTCTCGCGCATACTTCGTTTCATCCCTCCTAGACCGACCATCATATGACTCCTTGGACGCATATCGGGCATCATACGACCCCTGGCGCTGATGCTGCCTTGGATGCGTAGGTGATACTTGCGAATCGAGAGGTCCAATCACAGCAGCAAAGTTTGTTGGTTTTGCACCTTGCTGTGGTGAAGTACGATGTTGCACTTGCTGCGGATACTTGGTACTGTGGAATCACAGGACGCAGCCGCTCCATCTTTCTGGGCGGATTGACAATCGCCAACGACCCAAGCACGCCCAACACATCACCCCATCGCTCACGCCAGACACGAACTGTCTCGCCTCCACCCGCTGGTCGATCCGCATGCTCCATATTGTCTCTCGTTGCTCCCGCACCTCCAGCCTCAAGACCCTCCCCCTCCACCTGCAGCGCATCCCACAACTCTCCCCACCGCTCCATTACAACTCTCCAAAATGCCTCCATTGCCCTGGCTAAGTCTAGCACAACCCCATCAATCCCACGCTCCAGCAGCTTTACATACACAGGTAACTCCAGTGCAAGCTGCCCCCGCAACGCAACGTAGCTCTGGCTTGCCTGTAGCAGCGCCTCTGGCGGGCGGTTCTTGCGCGTGATTGGGAGGTGCAGTAAGTGCATATGCAGCGGCTGCAGAGTGTGCAGTGCACTGAGAAGCTTGAGTGGCGCAATCGATGTGCCTTTGAGGGATTGGAGAGAGGGAAGGATGTGCGCATGGAGTTCGTGCTCAAGTTCTTGTACGAGATCGACTAGTCCGGTACAGAGCGAGAGGAAGGCATCGAAGGCTTCACTTTGGCCGGTTCCCAAGGTGTCTGGTGAAGAAGGGGGAGTGATATTCAGACTGGAATTGTTCTGGGACAGTTCCGGGCTGACGGTAACGCCAATGACGCCTGAAAATGCCCATCCCCACTTGACGAGCGCCCCAAACAGCGTATGGAGAGTCCGGGCATAGCCAAATGCATCCCGAGCGAGATGGGAGAGCGTAGTGATGTGCGACTTGAGCCTGCTTTCGAGGGCTACAAGGAGGGCAGCTTCGGCATTTTCGGAGTCGGGTTCTATTTCTGAAACGTGGATGAAGCCTTTTTGTTTCGAGGGTGACTTGGCGGACGAGGCAAGGGGCTTTGGAGTGCGTAGAGAACGCATGCGCGAGACGGAGGCGTTTACCACGCCAACCTTGGGTATGCCCATGGATCCTACACCGCCTGCTCCAGGGCCGTCTTTGGCGTGTCCAGATCCGAGGACCTCTCTGACGACTTCTACCCGCCTTCGTCCCTCGTTCACAGCACGAGCTACTTCTTCCACCTTCTGCTTCGCCTCTCTCAGTTTATCGAGCCCCTCAGTTCCCTCCCTCAGTTTCCCAAAGGCCTCACCTATGCTCTCTGAAGTTACGATAACGAGCGGCTCCGGAGTAGCACTGATCACGGCGCCCAGTAGTAACCCGTACTTCAGCAACCGCTGAACCGGCTTTATTAACAGACTCGGTAGGTCCCAAGCATGCGTGTGTGCCTCGACGAGTTCTTTGCTCTCCTTGAGCCACCGCGAGAATTGAGGCGTGAGCTGCGGTGGTGTATTGAGGGCGTCGAGGTGTGCGAGTGCGCGAGGATGTGCGGTGATGTACGTCGTGTATGGGGGCGCAAAGAGGGGCACCTGAATGACGTTAAGCATCAGTGTGAAGTCGCACCTAATATCGAGAGATTGAACTCACCACCTCCAGGAAAATTTCGCCTACGCCCTTGCCTCCTTCTTCAATGGCTATCTCGAGCTTTGACACGAGCATGTCAGAAAGGACAGCGAGTTCAGAAATGTTGCGGAAAATAATGCGTGTATCAGCGACAGATAGTGGAGGCTCGCCCACCGGGCGTAAACTTGAAAGGTGTGTTGGAACCTTAGAATCAGTCAGAGGACCTACTGAATGAGCAGTTAGCGAATTGGATGACCATAGAGAGTCATAGAAGGACCTATTTGGGTAAATGTAGGTACATTCAATTGAATAGAGGGCACGTTGAGCTGTATTGTGGGTGGGCAAAGGCTCGAGACGGATACGTCGGAAGTGGAGATGGTGCTAACTGTGCGTGAAGACAAGGATGAGCATGTACCTGAGCTCGACTTGGTGGATTCGGAACTTGAGCTAGACCCAGGGTTTGAAATTTCTGAACCCGAGACTGGGCGTGTACATGAGAAACCGAATGACGGAGGGTGACCTGGGATGGATTAGAACACTTTCAAAGGGCTTAAAAAGTAGAAGGACTCACCAGACGCCAACCTCATATACACATCCCTGATGAGTGCTAAATCACTTGCATAGGCACGTTCAGAGGTCAAAAGTTCGAGCAGAGCATGTTGGCGTTTTGTGATGGCTGGTGCGGGTATAGGGGGGGCTGTGGTCGAATCTTCCTCTGAGCGTTGTTGACTTGACATCGCACTCCGATCCTCCGACAGCTCAAGGCGGTTATCAGTTCGTAGTCTTGATTTGATAGGTAGGGAGAGGGGTAGAGTGGAAGGAGGGAGGGGGAGCTCCTTGTCTTTAGGGAAACGAGTGGATTGTATAAGAGTATGAGCCGATTCCATGGTAGGAGTATGGCCGGCGTTAGGTGTATCAGCACCGACGGAATCGGTATAAGCAGCGACGGGTCCGGTATAGCTGGTGTATAGGGCAGTAGCGAGGGTATCACTAACGAGGTGTTCTGTTTCCCTTTCTCTATCGAATTCGTCCTCGAATTCGTCAACAACTCCAAGAACGGAGTTGAGATCAGGTGTGGAGCCGAGAGCCTCCAAGAGCTGTGATAGAGATGAAAAGCTAGGAGTGCGAAGGACGGGAACCATCTCTGACTCTGGCGCTAAATGGAGGGTTGGCAACATCTTTGGCAGCTGTTGGCGCGTGGCAGGAGGCGCTGCGATAGGATGTGATGATCCAAGGTTTAATCCAAACGTTGGTTCTAGCTGTGATTGTTGTAGATCTAGACCTTCTTGTTCTCTTGATCGTCGTCTAGCTTCTTCTGCTATCATGGAATTACGACCAGGTCGAAGTGCTGATCTTGGTGGTGGTACAAGTAGCGTAGTACTAGGCTCCTCTGGCAGACGGTGTGATGGTCGTGGTTTCGATGTCTGTTGTAGCTGCTGGTTATTAATGGATGCGTGCTCGTTGCGTCCGCTAGCCTCGAGGTTCCCAAAATCTAAATGCTCCGTCTCTGAGCTTGCAATGTCCGTCATTCTAATTTAGTTGCCAGCCGGCCTTGAGGCAGTCGTAGATCCGTTTAAACGTCAACTTATTACTTAGCCACGCTAAGTATGGGCCTGGGCTGTCGAGTTGCCTGTTACACTCGTGTTCGCAACCTGTCCACTGCGTTTATACCATCAACATTAGCATCGACCTCCATGTTGACCATCACGATCAGCGAGGGCGCTTGGGCGCTTGACTTGCCTATCTTGGTCTGCCTTCTTCGTGTGTCCTTCGTGTGGTTCCCTTGCCGATAATGTGACTATCTTCCGAAGTGCCAGAACGTGGTCAAGAGGAAACGAGATATAGTCAGTGATTTCGACTTCTCTGTCGCTCCCTTTATTCAATTGCCAGCTCACCATTTGAAACTAGGCTTCGCGATGAGCTAAATTTGCTGGACTCCGCAAGTTGTAACCCAACAGGTTCACATCGTTGAGCAGCCGGGCCCGTCGCCATAAGTTTCAAACTCCGGTCATGCGTGCAGGCCGTTCTACGCTTGACACCGCCCTGG